CGAAGAGAAACAAAATATCAACTACTATACTCACTAAGTGTTGAAAACTTCGCCGGGACTGTAAGAGGTGCCAGGGGGTCCCCCTCCATTGTGTCCCATCGCCCTGCTGCCCAGCACCAAGAGCTCTTCCATTCCTTGATGGAGCTCGGCAGATCGATCACAAATGGAGTGTGGGAACCCCATGACGTCAGGTAGTACCAACCCCGGGTCTTATCCCCCCCGGCAGTAACCTTGGGTATGTAGAGAGTCTGGAAAACGGAAAGGGGCATCTCCACTCCTAACGACGCCTCTTTCCACAACATCCAGGAGCCCACCATTTGGCTCCAGGAGTTCGGATTGAGCTGCGTCGGGGCTAGCCCGTAAGACCTAAGCACCAACCTAAAGAACGGGTGAATAGGCAGCCTAAGTCCGGCCCTAAGGATCGCCTCACTAATGGCCACGCAGCCCGACCTCGGGTAACAAGCTCTCTCTTCCGGCTCTGGGAGAATCAGATCCACACTGTTCGGGATCCTATATTCTGTCCTAAGTCTACCAAGGTCGGCCTCTCTCAACTTTGATGAGTAGTCCGACGCCCCCCAGTGCATAGAAGTATCCGGAGGGCTATCTGGTCGCTTCCACATGTTTCCCCCCCATTATGGCCCCGGCTATTTCTGAGGAGGTCGCCACAATGGGCTCGTCCACCCTCACTATTTCTAAACTCCTACCCAAACCAGAACTGCCTTCCGAGGCCATTTGTTAAGAAATTTTTAGAGTCTAAATGGGTACTGAAACTTACGGGTTTGGAAGTGTTTCCTAGCCGGAAATGGTGCAAGATCGCCAGAAATATCGCTCTCTCTCTCGCCGGAGTTGCTTGTAGAACGCCGGAAATCGCCAGAAATTTGGGAGAAAATTTTGTTTTTTCGTATGGGAAAGGTAGAAACTCTGATAAGCCCCCAAAGTTCACCTTTTATAGGAAAGACAAATCCAATCTCCACCGTTGAATTCAAAAAACGATCAATCTAAACCGTTCGTTGTATTCTCGATCCCAGCCGTTGAAATGAAACGCCAGATTTGATCTACGCCCAAGATGTCGCTGTGGCTTTCACGCTAAATTAAAACGCGTCGCCTCGGTTACCAACAGCCGTCAATAATAATTACTGGCCGCAGCAGCCTTCTAGGGGAATGGGCGTGGTACCCAACTGTCACCTTGGAAACACGCAACAGTTGTCAAATCATTGGACTTCTGGGTCACCTCGGATGATCTCCTCCCCCAACTTTACAAAGCTTAGCCGCAACCAATGCGAACGCCCCAGTGGCTAATCGCCTCGGGCGCTGCGTTCCCTCCTATGCTGTACGAAGTTTGAGCCATCTCCCCACGCGTCGACCCCTTTTTTCGCCAACGCTTCAGCGAGAAACGAGTCCCCCAACTTTACAAAGCTTGGACGCACCCGATGCGAACGCCCCGTTTGCTATCACCTCGGTCGCTGCGTCCCCTCCCACGCTTTGCAAAACTTGAGCCGTCTCCCTCTTCCTGCCAACGCTTCGGTGAAGACGAGTCCCTAAGATTTTTATGACGCTTTAACGTACCCGACGCGAGCGTACCACTGGCTCATCGCCTCGGCTCTGCGTTCTTCCCATGCTCTACAAAGTTTCAGCTACCCCCATGCCGCGATCCGGTCAGGAAAACAAATCCACGTATAATATAAATATTCATTCTCAGATTTGGGGGACCACTGTTACGCCTCATTTTACGAGCCTCGGTACCGAAGTA